GAGCTGCACTGGCTCCCAGTGGTCTTCCGGGTGCGATTCAAGGTGTTGGTTACCACCTTTAAAGCGCTCCATGGCATTGGACCTGGGTACCTTCGAGACCGTCTTCTGCCACCAATAGCCTCCCACCGGCCAGTCCGCTCCCACAGAGAGGGTCTCCTCAGGGTGCCATCGGCCAAGTTATGTCGGCTGGCGACACCCAGGGGGAGGGCCTTCTCTGTGTTTGAGCCCCTGCCCTATGGAATGAACTGCCCCCAGAAATTCGTAAGATCTCCGATCTCCGTGTATTTCGCTGTGCCCTTAAAAAACCTTGTTGTTCCGCCAGGCCGGGCTATCAATGTAAAGATTTTAATTGGTTTTAAATATGGGGTTTTAAATTTGGGGGTTTTATAATTGAGCCAATTATTTAATAATTTTAATTAGTTTTTAAATTTTGTCTGTCTTTGTGCTTTTAATCAGGCTGTACACCACCCTGAGTCCTTCGGAAGAAGGGCGGTATAGAAATAAAATGAATAAATAAATAATAAATAAATAAATAGGCAAAGAGGTCGTTCAGTGAGTCATTGCCCAATTTGATGAGCCTTTTTGCCACGGTTGTTAAGCAAGTTACTTCAGTTGTTTTATTTATTTTTTTTATTTTTAATTTGATTTATATGCCGCCCTTCTCCGGAGACTCAGGGCGGCTTACAATGTGCTCAGCAATAGCCTTCATCCTTTTTGTATATTTATACAAAGTCATCTTATTGCCCCCACAACTGGGTCCTCAATTTACCTGCCTTAGAAAGGATGGAAGGCTGAGTCAACCTTGAGCCTGGCGAGATTCGAAACTGCAGTAATTGCAGGCAGCTGGTCTTAATAACCAGCTTAATAACAGGGTGCCTTAGACCACTGTACTACCAAGGCTCTTGTTAACTTGTTAAGCAAGTTACTTCAGTTGTTAAGTGAATCGTGCGGCTGTTAAGCAAATCTGGCTCCCTTCATCGACTTTGCTGGTTGGAAGCTGGTTGGGTTAGGGTTGACCCCAGATCTGACCTCAGGACACTGTTTAAATGTCATAAACAGAGGTCGTATTCAGCCAGTTCTGACTAGTTCAGGAGAACCGGTAGTGGAAATTTTGAGTAGTTCGGAGAACCGGTAGTAAAAATTCTGACTGGCCCCGCCCCCATCTATTCTCTGCCTCCCGAATCCCAGCTGATCGGGAGGAAGTGGGGATTTTGCAGTAACCTTCCCCTGGAGTGGGGTGGGAATGGAGATTTTACAGTATCCTTCCCCTGCCACGCCCACCAAGCCACGCCCATCAAGCCACACCCACAGAACCGATAGTAAAAAAATTTGAAACCCACCACTGGTCATAAATACATATGGTTTGCTAAGCCCCTTGTTTTATTGGATTAGGGATTTTCTGTCTTCACTGTGAGTTGTATTGTGTTGGGGTTGGGGGTGCACTGGGGGAGCTCAACCAATCTTGGTAGTACAGTGGTTTAATGCACCCTGTAATTAACACAGCTGCCTGCAATTTCTGCAGGTTCGAATCTTACCAGGCTCAAGGTTGACTCAGCCTTCCATTCTTTCTAAGGTAGGTTAAATGAGGACCCAGTTTGTGGGGGCAATAAGCTGACTTTGTATAAATATACAAAAGTACGAAGGCTATTGCTTAACGCATTGTAAGCCGCCCTGAGTCTCCGGAGAAGGGCGGCATATAAATCAAATCAAATCAAAATAAATAAAATCTCATTGTACATATGTTGTGCCCTGACAATAAAGATTTGATTTGAATTGAATTGAAATGGATTTGAATTTGAATTTGGGGGGGGGAATCACCTGATCTTTGATCATGTGACCATGCTGATGCTGTGGTGGTTGTAAGTGTGAGGATTGGTTGTAAGTCTTAGTAAGACCACACCTAGAATCCTGCATCCAGTTTTGGTCACCACATTATAAAAATGATGTTGAGACTTTAGAAAAAGTGCAGAGAAGAGCAACCAGGATGATTAGGGGACTAGAGGCTAAAATATACAAAGAACTGTTGCAGGAACTGGGCATGGCTAGACTAGTGAAGAGAAGGACCAGGGAAGACATGATAGCAGCCTTCCAATATTTGAGGGGCTGCCCCAGAGAGGAGGGGGTCAAGCTATTTTCCAAAGCACCTGAAGGCCAGACAAGGAATAATGGATGGAAACTGACCAAGGAGAGATTCAATCTGGAAATATCTTAGAACATTTAAACAATCTTCAAGGAAGAACCAGAAAATATATATTCACATAAGTGTTTGAAATATGTGCTATATGTCAGAAAAGTCAGACATATAAGCAAGTTTCAAGCTTTTTCTTCTTTCATAATTGCCACAACACAAGGAAAAAAAATGACTGGTACGAATCCCAGAACGAACTTACCTAAACATGGAAAAGGCCAATCTGAATTAGTCTCCTCCTCACACTCCATTTTGAGTCGTGACCTCCCTGCCCAGAACTCTGCTATCTTCTGACTTGGTTTGTATCAGGTGTGAAGCCACAGTTTGCTTAACCATGATATATTGAATAATTTACACAATTTTCTGCACTCAAATTTCTGCTCCCCAGCCTCAAACAGTGCAAGTTCACACAAGACAAACCTCACAGATCACAAGATGGCTTGGGTTCCAATCCAGTTAACCAAGTCAAGTAAATACTAAAAACACTCATTCCCATCACCTGCTAAGCTTGTTGAGTACCATATATTTTGGAGTATAAGACACACCTTAGTTTTTGGCTGTTCCCAGAGGTGAATTTTAGCAACAGGTTCCTTGGTTGTGAGCTCTGTGCCTTGCTTTTTTTATTTGCTTTTTTTCCTGCCTCTGAAAGCCTCTGAAACAGAGGTTCAGAAAAAAAAAAAATCCCCTGAAGCTCTATTTGGGGGCTTCTTTTCTGAAGCTCTATTTAGGGGCTTTTTTTCTAAAGCTTCGTTTCTGATGCTTTTTTCAGCCTCTGAAACCTCAGTTTGCAAAGCTGGGCAGGGCTACAGTATAAGACGCACCCAGATTTTCACCCTCTTTTTTTGGGGTGTGTCTTATACTCCGAAAAATACGGTATTTAGTTCTGTTGGGTGTTTTGTCAATTACCATGTTGTTCAAACCTAGCCTATTGGGTTGACTTATGGTTTGCTGTAGGATAAAGATCTCTATTTGGATTGGAAAAATCTGATGAAACCCAAGATGAGCAAAAAAACTGTTCTTTTTTCCTTTGCTGTCTTGTAATAATTGTCTAAAGTTGTATAGATCGATCTGAAAGCTGTATGGAGTGCTATCAGTATGTTGTGTTGACCAAGCTGTTGGGGGCAGAGATAGCAATAGACTTATATATCGCTTCACAATGCTTTACAGGCCTCTCTAAGTGGTTTACAGAGTCAGCCTCTTGCCCCCAACAATCTGGCTCCTCATTTTACCCACCTTGGAAGGATGGGAGGAGGCTGAGTCAACCTTGAGCTGGTCAGGATTGAACTGCTGAACTGCAGGCAGCCGGCAGGCAGCAGTAGCAGCCTGCAGTACTGCATTCTAACCACTGCGCCACTGTGTCTCTTATTTGATATTTGCATTTGAGCAGTTCTGATTAATGCACAGATGTATACCTCTATATGGCCACCGCTTTTGACCTGGGCCACCAAGCATATGACCATCAACGTATAAACTGGGGCTGCCAATCTTAAATGTGTGTGAAATGCCCCTTCTAATAACACATAAATCTTTTACTAAAGTTACTTATTCAATCAAAACCTAGACATTTAAAAAAAAAAATAAACCAAGGAAAATGTTTATTGTGAACATTCCCAGCTGATTGATTGAAACGCGACTGTTAATTGCAGGATCAGGTAAGTGAATGAAATTATGTTGAGTTAATGGTGAAAGGAAGTCTCCTTCCGAGCTCAAAGTTAAGACGTTGGATGGTGAATGTAAAGACTGATGGAGCTGCAGAATAGAGAATGTAGAGAAGGCAAGGATTTTGTCTGGTTACTTCATCGATTTCTAGTGTGCTCGCTCTTTTTACTTTGTTTTAACAGTGCAATGACTTATCTCTAGAAGTTGTGGGTACTCCATCACTGGACGTTTTCAAAAAAAAAAAGAGAGAGAGAGAGAGAGAGAGAGAGAGAGAGAGAGAGAGAGAGAGAGAGAGAGAGAGAGAGAGAGAGAGAGAGAGAGAGAGAGAGAGAGAGAGAGAGAGAGAGAGAGACTGGGCAGCCATTTGTCCCGAAACATATAGGATTTTCTGCTTGAGAAGCGTGTCTGATTCTATGCTCTAATATTTACAAGAGCGAAATGTAATGAGTCCTTGGATCATTTCTAATCTCATCATCTCCTCCTTCGTGAAAATGAAGATCTGTGGATTTGCCCAGAAGATGTCCCATCACCAAATGAACTTAAGAGAGGACGCTCAGATAGGAGTCATTCCTTACACACAGCAAGGAACCACTGAATGGAAGGAAATTGGATGGTCCTTTAGTTACTACGAAGGGGACGCGGTGGCTCAGTGGCTAAGACACTGAGATTGTCGATCAGAAAGGTTGGCAGTTCAGCGGTTCGAATCCCTAGTGCCGCGTAACGGGGTGAGCTCCCGTTACTTGTTCCAGCTTCTGCCAACCTAGCAGTTCAAAAGCATGTAAAAAATGCAAGTAGAAAAATAGGGACCATCTTTGGTGGGAAGGCAACAGCGTTCTGTGCGCCTTTGGCGTTGAGTCATGCCAGCCACATGACCACGGAGACATCATCGGATGGCGCTGGCTCTTCGGCTTTGAAACAGAGATGAGCACCGCCTCCTAGAGTTGGGAACGACTAGCACATATGTGCGAGGGGAACCTTTTTATCTTTTACCTTAGTTACTACTTACCTTTCCCAGTGGTGGCTTCCCACCATAGTCTCCTCACTCACCTCTCCCTTTGCATCCAAGCTCAACGTTTTATTGAGCTCTATACACAATCCTCCTCCCCATCCATTTAGGAACGAGATGGCACAACCAGATGACTAGACAACGTGGTACATATTCTTTTTCTTTTTAATGTAAAGTCAGAGACAACCTCACGTCTTGACCTCCAAACAAACCAAGGGCAAAAAAAGGCCTCTTTTTTAGGTTTCTCCCAACCTCCAACATCAAAGTGCGCATCTCCAGGTCCACTGAAAAGGAAAACAAATAAAACAAAAAAACCGAGAGAACAAAACGAATGCAATTTGAGGAAAAATTCTTCCCCCCCCTTTCTTCTTAAAAGACAGCATTATTTGAAACTTTTACTTTACTTTTCTTTCTTCTTCTTCTTCTTCTTTTTTTTTTTTTGCAGTCCTTGCCATGTTTTTAATCTGGAGCTATAAAGAGTTGTGCGAGGGGAGTGGGTGGGAAGAGATTGGGAAAGCTAGGGTGTTAGCTTTTAACCATCATTATTTCACCTCCCCTCCCCACCCCTTAAAGAATTTTGAATGTGGAAACATATGCTGCAGAATTTTTTTTCTTTTTTTTTCCTTTTCTTTTTTTATAAATGTCTTCACAATGTAAATAATTCAAAGGAAAATAAGAAAGATGGAGCGAGGGAGGAGGGGAGAGAGGGAAAGAGAGAAAAAGAAAAAAGAAATCAGGAAAAAGAAAAAATAAGAGGGAGGAGTTAAATATACACAGTTACCAATAAAACTTTATCCTCCAGTCTAATACACAGTTAACTCCATTTACAGCATGCAGTAATGTGTGTAAGAAGGACCCAGCTGAGAAATAGTGTGCTAGAATGCTAACAAAAAAATATTTTATGTTTCATATGTGTGTGTGTGTATGTATATGTGTGTGTGTGTATAAGACAGTATGTGCATGTGTGTGTGTGTGTGTGTACACACTACACACATACATATAAGCACAGCCTAAAAAGAATAAGCATATCAATCAAACTCAACGTACGATGAGCATCAACCTTTGAATTTCCAAACATTATGAAAACACTGGACAACCTTTTTTCTTTCAACATCCAGAATAAGGAATGAGTTATTCAGTACTGCTGGTGGAGCCCGTTGTTTCCATCTCACAATTTTGCCTACAAAAAGTGTCCATTCTCATCCCAACTGATCGCGCAAACCATCATTGACCCCGACGCTCCACAGTCTGTAAACCTAGTTTAAAAGCCCAGTATTCGACTTATTTCATTCATTCGTTTGTTCGTTCGTTCCTTTTCTTTTCTCTTTCTTTCTTTTTGTTGGGGTTTTGTGTGTCTGTGTGTGTGTACTTTTTTTTTTTTTTATGAACTAACAGTTCTAGGCTCATATCAGAAAATATAATTAATAAAATTAATAATGACTCAGAATCCCGTAATATCCATGTAAGTACATCCACGTAGTACAGTGAATTAATGTCTTAAATCGTTTGCGTGACGGTGGTTTGTTTTCTTGCAGCTGTGTGTGTGATCTTCTTGTAAAAGTGGTTGGGGTGGGTTGTTTCTCGGTTAGAACTGGCAATTGTACGGAGGACGGCGGAGTCCATGAAGTGGCGAAAATGGGTGGAAGAAAGGCATGGGAAGTGAGTTGACCTGGGGATCTTTCCAGATCAAGAAAGCCATGGGAAGTGAGGTGTCAGTCAGCTGACCTGGGAATCCTCCAGATCAGTGAACCTGGGAAGAGCAACAAAACATATGAGTCTAAACGGACAGAATGATTACTCATTAGCCAAATGCGCTGATCGGTTGCCAACAGCTGCATCCTTGTCCATGACAGAAAAAAAAAAAAGAAAAAAGGAATAAAAACAGAAAGAAAACAGAATGTTCCATTGTGTTGGAACTCCAGTAGATCATGGTGGATTCTTCTTGGGATTTTATTTTTTTTTCCAGACTTGTTTTCTTTCTCTCCGAGATTTTGCGATAATATAATTCTTGACTATTAGGATTATTTTCTGACTTTGTAAAAGTATTCTTCCTTTTTTTCCCCCACCCTCCCTTCCTCTCAGAATTGCCATCTTCAAAAGGGTCAAAACTTCAGCAGGAGGTGTAAAAGAAGCAATGGAAGCAGCCAAATACAGCCAGCTCTTCTTGAGCCACCACTGTTCCCATCATGCACTGCTCCAGGGCCTGAAAGAAGACAGATTGAATAGGGTCAGTTCGTGGAACCGTAAAGCAGCCAGGGATGCGGCGGTAATAGGACATACACAGTTACCAAATTAACAAAAACAACTGCGACCAGGACTGAATTCAGTCTTTTGTATAACTTTTGACCAGCAAATCGTCAAAGGGACTTTCTGACCTAATGCAAAATTAAAATTGGCTTGCTAGTTTCACGTTTCCATCTAAATTTCCATTGCACACATAATATAATGCAATTAAGAAGTATATAGTATCTGCTTTTGAAAGGCAGCATCAGATAGCAATAGCAGTTAGAAAGGAAGGAAGGAAGGAAGGAAGGAAGGAAGGAAGGAAGGAAGGAAGGAAGGAAAGAAAGAAAGAAAGAAAGAAAGAAAGAAAGAAAGAAAGAAAGAAAGAAAGAAAGAAAGAAAGAAAGAAAGAAAGAAAGAAAGAAAGAGAGGGAGACTAGTACGTCATCTTCCTTCCTTCTTTTGTCGGTAAAATATAAATTCAACACAAAAATTAGTTTGTCACGAAAGCGACTGCCTGCGAAGGCTCCTGGGTTGGGGCTGAAAGGTGAAAGCAGAAGCAGTATGATTCATCCCATAATTGGGTAGACCAGGTTGCCCTGATAGAGCGGTCCCACCGGAAAAAAACACTTTACCGTCTTATCCTCAAACAAGAGTTGGTACATCTTACCAGTATGCAACATTGTGCAACTAAGTCTTTGTAGACCCTGAATTTATGAACTAATTAGATGGGTTTTTTTGGACAGGCATGTAATTCCCTTGAGCATAAGCACTGTTGGGATAGAGAAAGCAATTTCTATCCATTCATCCATCCCAAAATCTTTATAAAACTAAGAAGAATGCCACAGAAACCAACATAGCACTCCGAGTAGTGGTGAAATTCAATTTTTTTCACTACCGTTTCTGTGGGCGTGGCTTGGTGGGCGTAGTGTGGCTTGGTGGGCATGGCAGGGGAAGGATATTGCAAAATCTCCATTCCCTCCCCACTCTTGGGCCAGCCAAAGGTGGTATTTGCCAGTTCTCCGAACTACTCAAAATTTCCACTACCGGTTCTCCCGAACCTGTCAGAACCTGCTGGATTTCACCCCTGACTCAGAGGCATACATGTATGAGATTGTTCACCCTATAAACATAATAAGAAAATAAAAGAATAAAATAAAATAGAAAATGGTGAGATAATATAAAAAGCTAGTGAGTTTCAAGTGTTCCTCTACCAGCCAAAAATAGATACCGGAACTCTTTGCTGTTGCCTCCATCCCAATCAGTTGGGACTTTTTTTTTTCAGGAAAGATTTTTTTTTTTTTTAAATGAAACAAAGACGCAGACACAAAATTAAAAGAAATTGGCTAATACTCTCATTTGGAATGGATTCTTTTCGAAAATGCATTGTTTCCATATGCCACTATGAGGAAGGAGCTTTTAGATGTCAAATCGATTTTAGACTTTTCTTTCTGCGTAGAAGAGATAATAGCAGAGCTAAAAATGGACACATTCACTGGAGTACTATATTTGGAAGCAGTTCTTAGTTAGAACGTCTGGACACGAGAAGAATGTCGCCTGATCAAGCTAATGTGCTCAGAATTCCTAAACAATGCTTGCCAGAAAGCACAATTAGAATTTTGATTGATTGATGGACGGATGGATGGATGGATAGATGATGTGCCATCAAATCATTTTCAACTCCTAGCACCCACAGAGATTTTCTTCATGGCGGTCCACCTATCAAGCTTCCCAAGGGTCCAGAATTAAAATATTGGGACCCTTGATATAATGGTTACCACAATAAGACTAGGCTAAGAATGTGTGCATTGGGTTTATTAGTATCCATTGATCCTAATTTAGAAAACTTAGTGTATCCAATGGAACACCTGTTTCTCAGAGTAGACACCATGCAACTTTGGAAGCCAACATACATCATGATAAGCCCATACAATACATGATACCAAAGCAGGAGAAGATGACTTTTTCTGGAATCGCCAGTGAATTCATGAACTTTTGCAATAAAGGACTGTGATTGGGTTTAAACTTCTGAAGAATAAATGACAGATTGCAGCTATCAGATTCTCCTTGCAACTTATTTTTTTTCCCCCTAGACGCAAATAAATCCCACAAACCCAGTCTGTTTACACGCACACGTAACACAGAGACACAAAACACCCACAACTGATAACGTCGACTGATTTAACAGAGATTGCAGCTTCAACAGCAATGCTGAAAGCTTAGAATTATCTTGACAGCTAAGCTGAATCCTTTGAAATGTTGCAACAAGCGCTGGAGGTACCTTTAGCCCAACAGCTTCTGTGAGGAAGACAATAAGGAACTCGTTCCAAACTTGCCATCGGTGGAAGCCGAGAGAACAAAGAAATCTAAGTGACCTTTCCTGGTCTTTTGTGATGCCTCCCATCCAATATTAATGCCTTTGTTCTCATTAAGTGGGCAGTAATGAAGCCCTACAGTCATCCCAGAGGAGAAACTCTATTATGCCTTGATTATCTACCTGGAGAACGGGAGAACAAGCAAACAAATGAAGTGAGAAGACCCGTGCTGGAAATCCCTGCTGAGATGTCCACCAAGATGCCAGGTTTAGGACACACAGAGGACTATTACTGGTAGCTGTGTCACATGGTAACTTTCCTTTTCCTTGGAGGCCTGAGCTAAAAATAGCGATAGCGATAGCACTTAGACTTATACACCGCTTCACAGTGCTTTACAGCTCTCTCTAAGCAGTTTACAGAGAGAGCCTCTACAGAGAGCCTCTACAGAGTCAGCCTCTTGCCCCCAACAATCTGGGTCCTCATTTTATCCACCTCGGAAGGATGGAAGGCTGAGTCAAGCTTGAGCCAGTCAGGATCGAACTCCTGGCTGTTGGCAGAATTAGCCTGCAATACTGCATTCTAACCACTGAGCCATCACAGTCAGTCCTTCTCCTTCCTCCCTCCCTCCCTCCCTCCTTCCTTCCTTCCTTCCTTCCTTCCTTCCTTCCTTCCTTCCTTCCTTCCTTCCTTCCTTCCTTCCTTCCTCCCTCCCTCCCTCTCTCCCTCCCTCCCTCCTTTCTCAGTAGCACTTAGACTTATACACCGCTTCACAGTGCTTTACAGCCCTCTCAAAGCAGTTTACAGAGTCAGCCCATTGCCCCCAACAATCTGGGTCCTCATTTTACCGACCTCGGAAGGATGGAAGGTTGAATCAACCTTGAGCCAGTCAGGATCGAACTCCTGGCAGTAGGCAGAGTTAGCCTGCAATACTCCACTCTAATCACTGTGCTGGTATCTCCCTTCCAGTAAGTTAAACCCACTATAGTAGTTTACGTCCTGTACTCTGAAACAACAGAAGGTCCTGTTGAGTTCCTGCATGAAAATCGTTCAAACATTTCAAGACAGGGCTCATCCTATTGCTATCTCCTGATCTTTCTCTTTCTAAAGGACGAGCATTCCCATTTTCAAGGAGTCCTTGAGTTACGACCACAATTGAGCCCAAAATTCCTGTTTTCAAGTGAGACATTTGTTTGAATTTTGCCCCCATTTTATGACCGCTCTTCCGATAGGTGTTAAACAAATCACTGCAGTTGATAAGTGAGTAACCTGGTTGTTAAGTGAATTTGGCTTCCCCATTGACTTTGCTTGTCAGAAGGTCACAAAAAGGGACACAGCAACGGTCATAAGTATGAACCAGTTGCCAAACTTCTGAATTTTGATCACATGTTCCTGGGCATGCTACTAAGGTCACAACTCTGGCAAATGGTCATAAGTCACTTTTTTCAGTGCCGTTCTAACTTTGAACGGTAACTAAATGAGGACTACCTGTAAGTTGAGGACTTCAATCTCTCCTCCCAAGGCTGTTTGTGGTCCTTGATGATCTTTAAATGTATTACATGTTTTGAACACGTTACAGTTTAAGGTGCAGTGCTGAGAACTGGACGTTATAGTGGAGGCTGGGTCGAATCGACACAGTTTTAAGTGGAATGTCGATGATTTGTCGAAACCTAAACATGCCTTTCCCGTTTTGGGGCAACCAGAGTACACTCCTGATCCATAATCATTTTAAATTAGGGGTGTCAATTTCAAGGTCAGGGGTGAAATGCTCCTGGTTCGGACTGGATCGCCCGATCTGGTAGTGATGGAGATGGGTGGTTCGGAGAACCAGTAGCAAAAATCCCTGCCCACCCCCCAATGTCGAGCTGAGCCGCACACTCATCAGAGGCTTTTTTTTTACTTTTAAAAGCATTTTTTCTACAACCTCTTTGGCCAAAAAAATGCTTTTAAAAGTAAAAAAAAAAAAGCCTCTGATGATCGCGTGGCTCAGCTAGGATCCTCAAAGGCTTTTAAAAGCATTTTTTCTACAACCTCTGAAGAAGTTGTAGAAAAAATGCTTTTAAAAGCCTCTGACGATCCCAGCTGAGTTGCCTGATCGTCAGAGGCATTTAAAAGAAAAAAAAGCCTCTGCCGATCAGGCAACTCAGCTGGGATCGTCAGAGCCTTTTGAAAGCATTTTTTTACAACCTCTTCGCCGAAGTGGTTGTAGAAAAAGTGGTTTTAAAAGTTAAAAAAAAAATTGGCCACACCCACCCAGTCACATTACCCACCCCCAAGCCACACCCACAGAACTGGTAGTAACAAATTTTAGATTTCACCACTGTTCAAGGTCCGTGAAATCTTCCCGGGTTGCCACTGGTTTGCTGTGCGTGCATGCGCAGTGCCTACCAAACACACACTTTGCGCAGAAAAAGGAAGCTTAAGAAGGTAAGTAGAACAGCAAGTTGGGGGAGAACAGCTGTGCCGCATAATTTAGAATATAAATTGTGCAGCACAGCTGATCATTGGAAATACCGGTTCGGATAAATCAGTAGTTTTTTTTTGTTTGTTTTTTTTACTACCGGTTCACTGAACCAGTAGCTTTTATTACTACCAGCTCACCCAAACCGGTGTGAAACGGTAGCATTTCACCCCTGTGTGGGGTGCTTAGATCTGGCCCATGAGGCCCCCCTGGAAATAGTGAAGGACCGGCCCACAGTGCCTCTGCCGGCCCTCCTGGGCTCCGTTTTCGATGGCAGAGGGCTGCAGGATATGGAGCTGGCCACGCCTACCCTGGCCATGCCCACTTGGCCCCACAAGGTCAAACACAACCCTGATGCGGCCCTCAATGAAATCGAGTTTGACACCCCTGTTTTAAATCAACTGCTTCTTCTCAATTACTGTTGCCAAGATAGAAACAACCCCATTCTACGTTTGTGCATTCGGGTTTTCCGAGCGAAGATATATATATATATATTTGCCTTGATCTCTGCTCTTCCAACTATTCAAAGCGATTCTAATGGATGGCACAACAGGAGGTGATTATAAATTGCCGGAATATCCCTACGTGCAATATTGCAGATGCCGAGACCTTCACACATTCAGAAAGCAATCCAAAACCACGATTTGATGTCGTCGCTGCTGGAGACTGAGCCTACCAAACTTCACGTGCTAAATAATACCAGATCGGAAAGTTTTCTGATGTTCCTCATGTAACACATCATTAACATACGAAAGATACAGGAAGTGGGAAGAAGTGGGAAGCATGAGCAAAAAGTGCCCACAGCAAACCGAAACGACAGTTGTGTAACGTCCTTTACAGCAGGGGTCTCCAACCTTGGCAACTTTAAGACTTGTGGACTGCAACTCCCAGAATTCCTTAGGTGGTTGAGGAATTCTGGGAGTTGAAGTCCACAAGTCTTCAAGTTGCCAAGGTTGGAGACCCCTGCTTTACAGTGCAGGTACTCCTCAACCTACGGCCAACAATTGAGACCAACAACCCAGGGGGTTGTTAAGGGATTCACACCTGATTTTAGGACATTTTTTTTTTTTTTGGCCATAGTGGTGAAAAGGGTCACTGCAGTTGTTCAGTGAATCATGTCATTGAGCGAATCCAACTTCCCCCATTGACATTGTCGGAAGTCTTTCTAGGTGGCTCAGTGGCTAAGACGCTGAGCTTGTCGATCAGAAAAGTCGGCAGTTCGGCAGTTCGAATCCCTAGTATAGGTCTCCTGCGTGAGCAGGGGGTTGGACTAGATGACCTCCAAGGTCCCTTCCAACTCTGCTACTGTTATTATTAAGTCAGTGGGGAAGATTGCAAAGGACGATCACATGACCATGGGACGCTGCAATCTTCCTAAATGAGAGGAATTAAATATAAATCATTATTTTTTTCAGTGCTATCGTATCTTTAAATTGTCGCTTAATGAATGGGTATAAGCAGAGGACTACCTACGTGTTAGGCCGAAAGAAATGAGGATTAGCCATATTATTATGTAGTGCAGCAGGCAGGCTGGCTACGAATGCCATCTTGCTACCAAAATGGCACCTTGCTACCAAAGCAGATCCAAAGGTGCTTTTTCAGGAGTCAAATTGGAGACTACAGGAACCAGGAGCACCACTCAGGTGACCCTGAGGACACAGATAAACCTCCAAGTGCTTCAACGACCCTCTAAAAAGGATGCAAATGACCAGCTGTCTGCAAGGAGTATAAATCCTTCCATTCGCCACTATCTAGTCAAGAGCTGAAGACGCTTCTTGGATGAGAAGTGAAAGGTCTTCAAAAGAAAAAAAACAAGAAAGTCCAGGTGCCTCTTGAAAAAGCACCTTTGGGACAACCATGACCAGGATGACTGAGAATCTCTACAGACTATCATCAGTGTTACTCAAGAATTTCTACAGACTTTTAGCTATACAATTTGGGATGAACGCCCTTTGAATGGTGAGGGAGTAGGAATGGATTTCCAGGGAAAAAACTGCAGACTAAAGAAACCATTTGCACTACTCAGGTGACCCTGAAGACACAGATAAACCTCCAAGTGCTTCAACGACCCTCTAAAAAGGATGCAAATGACCAGCTGTCTGCAAGGAATATAAATCCTTCCATTCCCCACCATCCAGTCAGAGCTGAAGAAGTTTTTGGGATGAGAAGCAAAACGTCTTCAAAGAAAAAAACAAGAAAGTCCAGTTGCCTCCTGAAAAGGCAGCTTTGGGACAACCATGACCTGGATGATGGAGAATCTCTACAGACTTTTAGCTATACAATTTGGGATGAACACCCTTTGAATGGTGTGGGAGTAGGGATGGATTTCCAGGGAAAAAACTGCAGACTAAAAAAACCATTTGCACTATTCAGGTGACCCTGAGGACACAGATAAATCTCCAAGTGCTTCAACGACCCTCTAAAAAGGATGCAAATGACCAGCTGTCTGCAAGGAATATAAATCCTTCCATTCGCCACTATCCAGTCAAGAGCTGAAGACACTTCTTGGATGCAAAGTGAAAGGTCTTCAAAGAAAAAACAAGGAAGTCCAGTTGCCTCCTGAAAAAGCACCTTTGGGACAACCATGACCAGGATGACGGAGAATCTTTACAGGCTTTTACTAAAGCTGAAGCTTCAAAAGCAAGTCAGGGTGACTCCCTTAGCAAGTAGAGAGGTGATTTTGCAAGGAAGCAGAAGAGGGCTCCAGCCTTGGTTACCAATTATGGGACAGTCCCTTGATGTTACAGCTATGGAAGAAATATGCAGGAGGAGCAGTAAGGGGTTGGTAGGGGATTTAAGGCCAGGACTTGCAGGAGGTTACTACTAACCTTTCCAGCGTGTCTGTGCTGATGTTGTCTCTTCTACAAAATGAAAGGACAAGTTATCAAGAAGGCTAAAGGAATAGAAGTTGCCTTCAGAAATCATGGGCGCTCCATCACTGGAGGTTTTTAAGAAGAGACTAGACACTCACTTGACTGAAATGGTATAGGTTCTCTTACTTGAGCACAGGGATGGACTAGAAGACCTCCAAGGTTCCCTCCAGCTCTATTCTATTTTTATTTATTTATTTTGTCAAGCACATATTAGATAACAGATATCTAATATCTGTTATATTATATAATATCTGTGATATTATAGACATAATTCTGAATACATGAGATGGATACTAATAAATGGGGACAGTAGGACAGGGACGGAAGGCACACTGGTGCGCTTATGCACGTCCCCCCCCCTTTTTTTTATTTGATTTATATGCCGCCCTTCTCTGGAGATTCAGGGCGGCTTACAATGTGCTCAGCAATAGCCTTCATCCTTTTGTATATTTATACAAAGTCAGCTTATTGCCCCCACAATCCGGGTCCTCAATTTACCTACCTTAGAAAGGATGGAAGGCTGAGTCAACCTTGAGCCTTGGCGAGATTCGAACCTGCAGTAATTGCAGGCATCTGGTCTTAATAACCAGCTTAATAACAGGGTGCCTTAGACCACTGTACTACCAAGGCTCTTTACAGACCCTTACCCTTACAGACCACTTAGGAATGGGGTGAGGTCAACAGTAGACAGTCTAAGGTTAAAGTTTTGGGGGTTTGGGGAAGTAACCACAGAATCAGGTAGTGCATTCCAGGCATTGACCACTCTGTTGCTGAAGTCGTATTTTCTGCAATCGAGTTTGGAGCAGTTTACCATAAGTTTGTATCTATTGTGTGCTCATGTATTGTTATGGTTGAAGCTGAAGTAGTCATTGACAGGTAGGACGTTGTAGCAGATAATTTTGTGTACTTAGATCATACCAAAGGCGGCGTAGTTCTAAGTTGTCTAAGCCCAGAATTTCAAGCCTGGTGGCATAAGGTATTCTGTTGCAAGCAGAGGAGTGGAGGACTCTTTTTGTGAAATATCTCTGGACACTCTCAATTGTATTAATGTCCGATATGCAGTGCAGGTTCCAGACAGATGAGCTGTATTCGAGAATTGGTCTGGCAAATGTTTTGTATGCTCTTGTTAGTAGTGTAATATTACCGGAGAAGAAGCTACGCAAGATTAGGTTTCCAAGTCTTAATGCCTTTTTGGCGATGTTGTTACAGTGGGCTTTGGCACTTAGATCATTAGATATGAGTACTCCAAGTACTACTTGACAGAGTGAGGGTTGTCTACAAGGTCCCGTCCACTCAGCTGGTATTTTGTGTTCTGATTCTTTTTGCCAATGTGTAAGACAGAGCATAGGGACGCGGTGGCTCAGTGCCTAAGAGGCTGAGCTTGTCGATCGAAAGGTCGGCAGTTCAGCGGTTCGAATCCCCAGTGCCGCGTAATAGGATGAGCTCCCGTTACTTGTCCCAGCTTCTGCCAACCTAGCAGTTCGAAAGCACATAAAAAATGCAAGTAGAAAAATAGGGAACACCTTTGGTGGGAAGGTAACAGCATTCCGTGCGCTTTTGGCGTTGTCACGCCAGTCACATGACCACGGAGACATCTTCGGACAGTGCTGGCTCTTCGGCTTTGAAACAGAAATGAGCACCATCCTCTAGAGTGTTCACCACACAAATTCAGAATTTAACTATTCACTGCTAAAGTGATGGGTCACCATCATAACATTATAGATCAAAGCTGTTCCAGAACTGTTTTCCAACTTCCCAAGAGTTTCCTTTTACTTAAAAACAAAACAAAACAAACCTTTATCCTCAAATTGCTTTAGAATTTCTTTCAAATTTCTTTCAAGATTACTTAATTGTTCTAAAATGTTGACCTGAAAAGTTCTATTCTAAAGCTCTCTCTGCCTTCTGATCTTCTATGAGACCCACATTTATTGACCCTTTTGCATAATAATAATAATAATAATAATAATAATAATAATAATAATAATAATAATAATAATAGTAATAATAATACCGTTTTCCCCAAAATAAACATCCCCTGATAATAAGCCCAATTGGGCTTTTGAGTGCATGGCAATAAGGCCAAGCACTTATTTCAGGGTTCAAAAAAATATAAGACAGGATCTTATTTCTGGGGAAACATGGTAATAGTAGGAGTCTTCCAAATAACTCCACTTAAATCTTGTCACAGATGGGCTTTGCCATTGGTGATTACTTACTGTCCTAATTATCCTTCTGTGATGATAAGAGCTTAGTGCATTTCTAAATTTGCTAATAAGGTGATTTTATGCAGACAGCAATCAGACAAACATTTGTTGTTGTTGTTCTTGTTGTTGTTGTTGTCCAAAAAGCAGGAGATAAGGAGACCTTATTTGGCAAGGAAGGACCCAAAGTAAGTCTCTGTGGATTTTACTTCACTAGTCCAGGGGTATGCAACCTTAAACACTTGGAGAGCCATTTGGACCCGTTTCCCACCGAAAAAAAAAACACCGGGAGTCACAAAACCCTTCCCGTGCCTGACTATTTCTTGAGTGCCCATAAAACTAGCATATGTAGTTGAATTAAACGTTGTGTTTTCTTCTGAATCTTTACTTTTCTTGGATTTATCCATGGTTGGCCTACTGGGGGTTGAAAAGCTTAATAAATTGTATGCCGGCGGGTGTCACACATTGGCGCATATTTTGAGTGACAGGGAGCCGCAGCAGAGGGGTGAAAGAGCCACATGCGGCTCCAGAGCCGCAGGTTGCTGACCCCTGCACCAGTCATGGCCGACTATAGGGGGAGGTGCTCATCTCTATTTCAAGACCATTGAGTCAGCTCTGTCTGAAGATATTTTTGGGTTTGGTCAGGTGGCCAGGATGATGTCATGGAGTGCCTTTCCACCAAAGTGGTACCTATTTATGTACTCTCATTGCCATGCTTTTGAACTTCTAGGTTGGCAAGGAGCTGAGGTGAGAATGGGAGCTCACCCCATTGTGTGGCACTCGGGTCTCGAACCTGGGCTGTCAGCTTTCTAGCTGACAAACCCAGTGGGTTTGAGCCACTGAGCCATGGCACCCCTCTCTTTTGCTGAGTAGTAGAAAGAAAAGCCATTCTAGGATTTCTTCTCATCAACTGCTGCGAGAAGGAATCCCGAAGAATACTCTAAAACAAATATGTCTGTATAAAGCTGAACAAATATATGATAGATCTGCACTGATATATGAGTGCAGATCTATCACAAAAGCCTCCCAAAATAACTCCACTTAATCCTTGTCGCGGATGGGCTTTGCCATTGATGATTACTTACTGTCCTAATTATCCTTCTGTGATGATAAGAGCTTAGTGCAATTCTATGTTTGCTAATAAGGTGATTTGATGATTATTGTCAGGCTTGCAGACAGCAATCAGACAAACATTTGTCACTGTTGTTGGCCTGAATGGCAACACCTTCGTTTAAACGGTTCAGGGCTGGAAACATGAAAAGGTCTCCAAAAAGAACAGAAAAGTCTTCATTTTAACCAGAAAGGTGATAATGGTGGTGGAACCTCAGGAAAGTTGTGAAATGAGTCCAAAAAGCAGGAGATAAGGAGACCTAATTTAGCAAGGAAGGACCCAGACAGATGAGAATCTGGAGCTGATATTGTCACGAACACCAAACTAAGTTTTGCAACTGTTTGAGTGAATTGACTGTTGTACAAGTGGAAGTCACCATCTCCCCTGGATCAGGTGAGACATCAATTATTCCTGGTAGGACTTCTTGTAGGATGCTTCATGTCTTGCACAAGCCTGGAGTTGACATAGATTCTGGGTTTGTTTCCCTATTCCAGGGGTCGTCAACCTTAAAAACTCAAAGAGCCACAAAGGTCTTAACTGGAAGCCCCCTCCCTCTTCAATTCTAGAGCCAACTGGAAGTCCGATTCCCCCCACCATAGAGTCTCTTCCTAGCACGGCGTCCTTTTTCCTCTTCCTGTCCTAACTGATAGCTCTATCAATTGTGACTGGAAAACCTGCCCCTTGCCACAGAGTCTCTTCCTGGTGCGCCGTGCTTTTCCTCCCCATAACCGGAAGCTCTACTCAAAATTGTGGCAGCAACAGGAAGCTGCAGCAGAGGGATGAAAGAGCCACATTCGGCTCCAGAGCCGTGGGTTGCTGACTCCTGCCCTATTCAGACAACTGCCACATTCCTATAGTTTTGGGTTTGGACTTGGTTCTTGGGGTTATTTTCTAGAATTCTTGAAATAACATGAATAGAATTCCAAAACACCTTACAGCAGCCTGCAGCTAACTTGCCTTAATAAGATGCTATTTATTTGTTCCAGAGAAGCGTTTTTTAAAAGAAATGATTTTGGTGGAGAATGCCAATGGACCTTTTTTTCCTAAAAAGAGCTTTGCCATATTATTACTATCAAGCTCCATGTGTAATGGGCATGCACCATTAACCTTGGAAAAGGAATGCTGATATCTATTGCATTACACTTAAAATATATCCATGTTTCGCACCCAATCGCTGGAGGTGACAAAAAAAAAATCACTTTATACACTGTGCTAACATTCATTGGGTTTCATCCACACTGGCAGTTAAACAAGTTTATTTCTTGCCAGGAATAAACATGAAGAATAATTGAGAGAGTTGGAATTTGCAAGGCAAAGAAGTACAAAGCTGAACTCGGCGAGCAAATTTGAGCAACAGCTGTGAAACCTTGGACCTCTCGCTTCCATTAAGAACAGTTATCTCTGCTACCCTCCATCAAGTCACACTGATTCACTTAAAAAATATGTAAAGCGTCTCTCGGTTTTATACATATTTTTTTCCTCCATCGCTTCTGTTTATTTTTAAAAAAAAATCAATTTTTTTAAGAGAGAATTTTACATTGAAACCAATTGTAAAAAGGTAAAAGTAAAGGTTCCCCTCGCACAAATGTGCTAGCCGTTCCCGACTCTAGGGGGCGGTGCTCATCTCCGTTTCAAAGCCGAAGAGCCAGCACTGTCTGAAGATGTCTCCATGG